GCGCCCCCCCCGCCCGCCCGCCGTGCCATCGAAGCCGTTGCCGAGCGGGCGTTGCCGTCCCCGCGGCTGCCCGCGTTGCTCCGCGCGGGCAGCTCTGGCCGCTCGGCCTCGCCCTCCCGCCGCGCCGGCCTCGGGGCGTGCGCTGTGCGCGGGGGCAGGGGGCTCTGCCCCCTCCCTGCTCCCTTTCCGCTCCCGTGGGAGATGCTGCCGTGTACTGTGGCTCCGACACCCCCTGCTGCCCTGTTTGCCTGAATGGCTGGCAGCAGCCCGAACCGGGCTTTTCTGTCAGCTCTCCAGTCCCAAAGCTGTAAGTTTTGTGAGCAGAGGGAGCCTCGGGCTCGTATCCTCTGCTAAGGAAGGGAATCATCCTCTCAGTTCCAATTGCTTGTTGATTTGCTGCCTCATCTTATCCTTACCAATGTCCCAAAACCTGATGCGTGCCCTGCAAAGGGTATTGTTTCTATACATTGAGCAATACAGACGGTAGGGCATTTCTCCTGTATTAGCAGGGAAGTTTACCACGATGGGCCATGGTTCTCCACCTTCCTTATCTGTAGGCAACAGAAGTGAGCAAGTTAACACTTTATATGGTAATGTTGTCGAGCTTTTGGGCTGAGTTTTATCTCTAATCTTCCGCATGTATAAGCCATATGAGAATGTTATGTTAGTCACCATCTGGAAGCTGGTCCTGTGCTTAGGAAGGTGCTGCCCAGAGGATTTGTTTGAAGTAATCCAGTGTTGACACCTACAGCACTGGCTTATCTCCAGCCTGGAATCCTAAACTGCCAAGTGATCTTCATGCCCGAGTCCCCTTTTTCTTTCACCTTTCTTTGACTGCAATTTTCTGTTTGCCCCGCAAGCTGTGGGGCACAGTGAAATTCAGCATGTTTTAACAAATGCCTTAGTAGAAACTACACCAGTCCAGCTTCCCAGTGCTGCTGTACTTTCTTGTGGTGCTTGCATCTTCATGATGTTTTCAGTGCCTTTAATGCTTTTGTCATTTGTATTTCTACAAGGGTCAGTCTGTCTGCAGCTGAACTGCTTATGTTCCTATTTCTGCTGAAGTTTTACTCTTTTGGGGCATTTGTTTCGAGTCGATGGCAAAACTTGATCAGTGTTTTTAGATTTGAGTTTTGGATGGAAGTTTGGGAAATTGTAGCATGCATGGCTGTTGAACGTACACTTTCTGAAGATTGGACTCTTCAGTATGATTCTGATTAGTATGAAAAAATTACTCATGATTCGTTTTAAAAAAAAACTTAAAGTACTTCATGCTTCAAGATTTATTTGGAGCTACTGATTAGGAAACTTGTACAGCTATGAAATTTCTTGATAGAGTGAGTGTTAAATATGTTTCTCTGGAGAAGGGAGAATAAGTAGTATAACCTGGAAACCCTTCTCCTTCCTAAACGCCTTCCTGTTTCACGTGTGCTAGATAAGTTTAAGCTTGGAAGAATTTGAGAACTGACCTTTCTGTAGTCAAACCCTAAATGAATTTTGTTACAATTCTTGCCTAAAACTACTGACTGGCAGAGGGGTGCTGTTTTACAGACAGCCTCTGACATCTGTTAGTGTCTGTTGCCATGTTTTGTTTACATTAGTAGCCAGGAATTACATTCATGCCTTAAAATGCTGGTAGTGTGGTAGTTGTCATGGTATAAGACTTCTGTTCTGGACCTGTAAAGGAGTGTGTGTACAAGAGCTTTTTTATTTGTCTGTACTTGTCAGTTGATCTGATAAAAGATATGACTTCTGTATTTCACTTAAAATGCATGTGGCTGTCTAAAACTCATGTGCACTTGATGTTCTCTCAGAACCCTGTTCAGAGCTTCAAGATCTACAGTTTGCAAGAAATAGTGCAGTAAATTGATACTGTAGCTGAAAATTGTTTATATCTGGGAAGGCATTGAAGAAACTGCATGATAGTTGAGAGCACTGTGCTGAGTTAGTAGGCTAGTGAGATTTAATACAGCTGTAGAAAAAAGTACTCTGTTTTTTAAACAGGGAGAAAACAGCAAGATTATCCCCTAAATAAAGCTCTTTGTGAAGTGAGAAACTTACCTGTTAGTTTTTGAGCTTGGGTGTTTTCCTTTGTGGGAATTACATGAGTCTTTTCCTCCTGCAGACCCCTTTGCTGATGCAACAAAGGGTGACGACTTACTCCCGGCGGGGACTGAGGATTACATTCATATAAGGATCCAGCAACGAAACGGAAGAAAGACACTGACAACTGTTCAGGGAATTGCAGATGATTATGACAAGAAGAAACTTGTGAAAGCTTTCAAAAAGGTGAAGTTGCTGATTTGATTTAATAATAAAGATGTTATATAAAGGAGGATGATAGCTTTTAATTCTAAGTAACATAATATTTGTTTTATTTCATTCTTGCCAGTGCACATCACTTTCATGTTCAGGTTGATCCCTTTCCCTGTCTTTTTCAAAACTCCTATCAGAGTCTAGTGATAAAGCTAAACATTTCTTTCCTATAAAGAAGCAAATAAAATATATTCTGAACGTTTCATTAAAATCTGTCATAGCTGGGTTGCTGTTGAAATAGAGATCTTGAGTTTTGCCAGGATGAAAATATTTATTTTAAAATAGTGTGGAGCTGAAAGGATGTATCTTATGGCTTTGTTTTCCATTCTTGTTATGAGTGTTGGCCAGTTCCTTCTGCACAGTAGCTAATCCTGTCTTTGCCTGAACTTACCATCAGCAGCTTAGTTTGTGTCTGTATGCATCAGCAGATGTATTCCATTTGCTCTCAAAACCAGTGTAAAATAGATCTAGCCTTTACCTTGCTTGGCATGAGAATTTAGTAAGCAGCTTCTGTTGACAAAATTCTGCTGAAAAGACTTACTAAGCAAAATCATAATGTGTATCAGATGCCTTACAATATGAATGTTTCTCTCTAGAAGTTTGCTTGTAATGGTACTGTGATTGAACATCCTGAATACGGTGAAGTTATCCAGCTTCAAGGTGACCAGAGGAAGAACATTTGCCAATTCCTCTTGGAGGTGAGAGACTGCAGATAAATATCTAAACCTCTCTGGAAGCAATAGAGTGACAGGTGGCACTGATGTTAATTAACCAGCTAAAGATGTCCACTATAGTTCCTTTGTATTTTCAGCCAAAAAGTAAAATGATGCTTGCAGAATGAGAGTAAAACTCCAGTAAGAACCAAAGCCCCGTGGAATGCATTTACCCTGCTACAACATACCACTTGTTCTCTGGCAGTGCAGCTTGAGTTCTTCATTTGTAAAATCAAGTGTTTCATGCAAACCATAATTTTGAGACTGAAAACACTACGGAGGAAAGAGTCTTTCACCACTAGGTTACTGATGCAAATCACAATGTAGAGATGTTATGCTGTTAAAGAGTAAGTGCTAGGACTACAGAACAAGCCAGATGTCTGATAAGATTTTCTTTTTTGCATAGTCAACTCTTCTGCTTGGCCCAGAAACATTGTGGAAACTAGAAAACTGCTTTATTGAGTATATATCGTATTGCAGTTTCTTTAATCAAAGTATAAGATTGTGGTAACTTGATATCACTGTAATACCCTAAGCATGTAAGCTTTACTGAAATACGTTGCTTTTTTCCTTTAGATTGGCATTGTCAAGGAAGAACAACTGAAAGTTCATGGTTTCTAAAATACGTGTATTCCCATGAAGAACCCTGCAGTATTGGTCTTACCTAGCCTGACTCTTCTGTGAAAAATGAATCTTTGCAGTGAATGGACTTCCCTGTTACCTGAACGTTTAAAATTTGATTCAGATTTGCATGACTGCGTGAAACATGTGGTGTGTAGACTAGAAACACATAAGAAAACTTCAGTAAGGTGGTAATGAAGACACTTGTGAACTTTAACACATTTCCAATGGAAATGTTTTAGCAGTGATTGTTCAGTTTATTACTCTCCACCTGACTTAAATGTGTGGGTTGTATTAAAATAGTGTGTGTTGTTGCTTAGAAATAAAAGTTTATTCATATATTTTCTGGGATATCTGAAATGCTTTAGCTTAAATTTTAAACTAGCACAGCAGCCTTACTAAAGAATGGCTAAAATGTTTTGTGGCAGGTGTAGCTCACTGCTCATTGAATAAATTGGAAAATCTACATGACAAAGTATTAGCTAATTAATCAGTAGATTAGCTTGATGTGATCTTATCCTATAGTTGTAAGACTAGAACTTTAAAGTCTTTTGTGTAAGTGTATCTTAGTAGCAGCATGATAAGACATAAATTGTTTGCTGAGTAAGTAACTGGATCTTCTCTAAAATTTACTGCAGTGACTATGAAATATTAGTGTTAAGTTTAGTAGGACTAAAATAAGCTGAACTCCTTAAGGCTGCTATTACTGAGAACACGCTAAACATCCAGGTCTTACATAGTACTCCCAAAACATTTGAAGGAAGTGCATGGGATTTTGTATCTCTTCTGTCACTGAGTGAAGGGGAAAGACATTGAGTTGCTTTCTGCCATGACTGTGCATTTAATGTCAGCAAGCAGAGTGCTTTAAATTGGCAGCGTTAGCTGTGGAAGTAAGGAAGGGAACACGCTCTACACTAACCTTTTTTTTTTTTTCCCCCAGTGTGAAAAGTTTTGCTGTGACTAATGGTTAATATGGAGGGGTTTGTAATGGGGTTTGGGTGTTACTACAGAAAGCTGATTTAGTCTACTTTTCTAGCAGACAATTCATTAACTGTCATCTGAAGTTATAATTGGTTTGTTCTGCCATGCATCTAGTTTTAGTTAGCTGTAAGCATTTGGTATTCTGCTTTTAAGACATGTCTCTTTACAGAATGAAATGGCTTCATTTGGTGAAACACAGAGATCTTATCTTCATTGTGAGATAGACATGGGAATTTTCTCTGAAACAATTCAAAACATGCTGAGCTGGGAAATCATAAGAATAGTGGGAAAAATTAAAAAAACTTCTTGTAACATCATGTATTCTCTGGAAAGGAAGAAAGAGACATTTCTTTACTGCTAAGACTTTTATGAATAAAACTTACTGAGAAGGAAAAGAACTGATGACTACCTATGTAAGCATCAAGAATAGGCAAAACTATATTACTTGGTATCACCTGTGCCTATACTTTAGTTTCCTGTTCAGACATGCCTTTCTAAACAGAAACGCTCAATTTTAACTCACTTGAACTTCCCCCCCCCCGCGCGCACCCCCCGTCCAACTCAGCCACAGTCAGA